TATATATATATATATATATCATGTTCCATTCAATTGGTAAACACCTGATTTTCCTTCTCTTTTAATTTTGTTTTTATTGTTCTCAATGTGTCTCGATAAATTATTGTTCGTTTTAAATGAAATATTAAAATTATGTTTACTTAAAAAGATTTTGACTTTTAGACCGACGGTTCCAGTATGTTGAACTATTATATTTTCTACGATTTCTATCCGACTGATAAGGAAATACTAATCGTCAGAGCTTTCTTCATAGAGTTTTTGCTGAAGAATTTTCGACACTAGTTCGCTTTCATAATTATTGTTAACCGCAATGTGTTTAACGATGTTAAACTTTGTGATTTGTTGTTCGTAAAGACGCAGTGACCCTGGGAAATCAATTGTGTTTGCAACCAGCTTGTATCTGCGATGGATGGTGGTGGGATTCGGCGTTTGAGGTATCTATTGAGTGTGAGTTGATTCCTATATGCGAGGGTGTGTCCCAATTTGCCATGTTCACCTCTCATAACAAGTACATCGAGGTGGGTGGTTGTTATACTCAGCTCTATAGTGGGGATTTATTCGTGGGTGGATGAATTCCAGATGGTCCAGAATTCTAGAAGTTTGTCTTTACCGAACGACCAATACGACGAACACATCGTCGACGTATCTTTTCCATATTTTGGTTTTAGATTTGTCTGTATAGCTTTCTTTTCAAATAATTCATGAATAGATTGGCTACTATGGGTGACAGTGACAGTCCATTGCTGCTCCGTCCAACTTGTCGGTACATTTGGCCATCGTGCATGAAGTAGAGCGTTATTCAAACAATGTTTTCTGTTAATAAATGGTTAGCATAATTCGAATTACTTTTTGTTATAGCGCGAAGCTATATTTATGTTCCGGGACATTCCACAATTCAATTGGTAAACACCTGATTTTCCTTCTCTTTTAATTTTGTTTTTATTCTCGATAAATTATTGTTCGTTTTAAATGAAATATTAAAATTATGTTTACTTAAAAAGATTTTGACTTTTTGACTGACGGTTCCAAAGTATGTTGAACTATTATATTTACGATTTCTATCCGACTGATAAGGAAATACTAATCGTAGAGCTTTCCGATAGAGTTTTTTGTGAAGAATTTTCGACACTAGTTCGCTTTCATAATTATTGTTAACCGCAATCTGTTTAACGATGTTACATCATTAAACATCAACATCATTAAACAAATTGCGGTTGGTAATAATTATGACAGAGAATTAGTGTCAAAAATTCTTCACAAAAAACTCGATCGGAAAGCTCTACGATTAGTATTTCCTAATCAGTCGGATAGAAATCGTAAATATAATAGTTTAACATATTTTAGAACCGTCAATCAAAAAGTCAAAACCTTTTCAAGTCAACATAATTTCAATATTTCATTTAGAATGAACAATAATTTATCGAGACTCATTAAAAAAAATAAAAACAAAATTAAAGGAGAAGACTAATCAGATGTTTACCAATTAAATTGCGGAACATGTCCCGGAATATATATACGTCAAACTAGTACAAATTTCGGTACTAGAATACAGGAAAATAAATATAGCTTCGCGCATAATGAAAGTAATTCGAATTATGCTAACCATTTCTCAACCGAAAACCATACTTTTGATGCGAATTTAAAAATTTTACACAATATAGAGAGAAGGAGTCAATTAGATTATTGGGAATTAGTGTAAATAAATTGGCTTAAAAATTCTGGAAATTTGCTCTATGAACAGATAGAATTGAACAATTCACCCTTGTTAAACTTTTTTAGATAATAGAAATTATCTGTAAGAATGGAATATCTTAGGTAAAACCCAAAGTCATAAAATCCCAAATTCCTTGATATTTACACCTGTGTTTTTCAAAATGTTGTTATTATTCTGTAAGCATCTGGAGAAGTAGTTTGCAACGACGAAACGCGTCATGCTATGTAGTGAATAAAGTGTAAATCATAAGTTCAAGTCATTGAATCTAAGTTTATATTCAATTAAAATGGATTTACATCAAGTAAACGCCAACATTTTGAATATAAGAAAAAAATTATGTTTCCTCGGTTGTTTATGACACAGACTCATTGAAATGCTCTCTCCCTATTCAAAAACCATCAGAATATTTGGAAAAGATTTTGGGTCTTAAAGAACGAATAATTTATGATTTCATCGAAATTGATTTAAGCTTAGAAAAAAAATATGGCTTAAAATATCCAATTAAAAGTAGGTGATGAAATGATAGTTCTCATTGCAAGGTATCCTCGTTTTAATAAATATAGGATAATTCAAATACATGAATTTGATTCACACTTTTATTGTCATAATGTGACGCGTTTCGTCGGAATAACCAACTTCTTCAGACGTAGTTAAAAAAGTTAGTTTTTAAAAATTGATTTAATTGAATTCTAGAATTAAGTGTCAATATTCTGTTTTTCCGTAGCTATAATATTTTCGTCATTTCCATTTTTCTATTCTTGCGACCATGTGAAATTTTCATTCGAAAACATTGTTGAAATCCCAATTCATTTGGTATATTTTCGAGAATTAATGGACATGTTTATGTTCTTTATCGTAAAGTTTCATTCGAAAACACTCAAGTTGAACTGATTCCAACAAACGACATTTAATTTTTTCTACTGAAAGATTATCTAATGAAATTTCCTCCAATATTCTCACCCTAACTTTCATCTGAATAGAAATTAGGTGGCCCATTGTAAGGGTTGTTCTAAAGTTCATCAAGCCAAGGTTTTCACTCCTTAAGTCTGTCGTAAAGGTTAATTTCGTACTTCACTCGTTGACATTTTCCCGTATTGTGTTTTCTTCGAACCTCTAGGCAATTTTCCAACGTCAGAGTTCTGACGCGTCTATACGTATTCGATACCCCGATCGAAGCAGTAAATAAAGTCAACCAGTTATTTCTGACTTTGGTTCCGTTCTTGTTGTTGATTTGTCTCCTTTCATGAAAGAGGGTCTTTTGTTAAGATGTCTTTCATTGTTTCCTCCGAGTATTCGGCAGAATTGAAATGAGTATTAAGGAAGAAGCAGGAAAATGTAGCAAACTTCAAAGTGTGACAGCGAATGGAAATACTACACAAAGAGCGAATATTTGAGAAAGTCTTAATATATTTCTTACAAGTGGCATCGCCTGAATGGGATGATTGTAATTATCTTGAACTACGGCTCCGTATATTCAGGATTAGTTTCTATTGATATTTCAACTACTTAGAGTTTCGACAGTCACGTTTTCAGTTCTAATTTCGGGAATCAACTTCGTTCCAGATATTTGAGTAACCGTTAATAGGGTTTCATTAATAGATGATGTTCCAGTTTCGCCTATTTATTCGAGAGGCAAAAATTTTCAAATTGAAAACTACTTAGATATTAGTTATAAGTGTTTAATTTGAGCGAATATTTTATTCTCTAAATTCTTGATAAGCCTATTGATACTTAACGGAAATGACCGAAATTTGAAAATACTCGTATGAGCACACGTTTGATGATATTTTCAAGACAAAACACTGTTGTTATGAAAATAAGATATTCAATATTCAATTTCTGATTGAAAACTCTCTAATTGTTGTAACATATAGGGAAATCAGAAGCATTTAACTAATACCTTATTCGGTTTATCATTTTATCAAGAATATCAATGCATTGAATGATCGAAAAAACAAGTTGAATTACTTTAAAATAACTGTAATTAGTAAATATTAATTATCTAATAATAGTTAGCTAATATTAATATTAATCGATCAAGATCGATGATTTTTTCGAAGCGCACTCAACATTTACTCTCGAAAGCAATAGGTCCGTTCTCGTTGACATTTGTGTAGACAGCTGCCTGAGAGTTTTATTAGAAATATTTCGATATTTCGATTAAGAGTCTCAGTATTCACTATATATATATATATATATATATATATATATATATATATATATATATATATATATATATATATATATATATATATATATATATTCTCAAAATATTTTTGGGTTATCGGCAAAGGTAGGCAGAACTAATTTAAACGACTAATCGTCAGTAATTCTATATTTCGAACGAATTTCGTTCTTCTTCGAGAATACTAAAAATATAGACAGGTGTTAATAAATCAGTTACAACTTGTAAAACAAGGGAAACCTTCATCTGACACAAGTCAATAAGCCAACAAAAACGAAACAAAAGGCATCAAATAATGATTATGACAATATTAAAAATAATAAATGCAGCAGTGTTGAGGACGTACGATATATAAATGACAATACATAAACTCCTAAATCGAGGTTAAACCATAGAACATATAGTGAGACTCATCACCGATTATCCTAGCCATTGGGAATTTGGCCAGGCTCAACCAACGATAGCAAGTAACTGTAAACACTACTAAGAATCTCAACATCTGTTCTCTTGTTAATGTTGTTAGGAGTACTGTTAATATAGCACATCTCCAAGAAGATTCTTTTCTTGTAGTTATATTCGATGGAGAGAATTTCTGGATCTTCAAAATCAAACTTATGGTCCAAAGAAAACGCATGATTTGCGTTTGGTGATGCGCACTGGCAGTGATCAGTGATGCGCACTGGCAAATCATGTGTTTTCTTTGGACCATAAGTTTGATTTTGAAGATCCAAAATTCTCTCCATCGAATATAACTACAAGAAAAGAATCTTCTTTGAGATGTGCTATATCAACAACACTCCTAACAACATTAACAAGAGAACAGATGTTGAGAGTCTTAGTAGTGTTTACAGTTACTTGCTATCGTTGGGTGAGCCTGGCCAAATTTCCAATGTCAAGAATCATCGGTGTTGTTGATTGTTTTCTGTGTCAATTCAGTTTTGAACGTTGATAAGTCTTACTATGTGTTCTATGGTTAAACCTCGATTTTAGTTTTAAGTTTATGTAATGTCATTTATATATCGTACGTCCTTATCACTGCTGCATTTATTATTTTTAATTTATATGTATATTTGGAATCGAAATTACATCACAAAAGTTATCAACCTCGACTGGGATGCGAACCCAGACCTCTCAGGTTTACGCCCTGTTGCTTTAACCACTGAGCGACCTCGGTAGCTTAGTGGTTGAAGCAACAGGGCGTAAACCTGAGAGTCCTGGGTTCGTATGCCAATCTAGGTTGAATTTTCGAGGTTGAAAACTTTTGTGATGTAATTTCGATTCCAAATTTACATATAAATATTTCTTTATATATATATATATATATATATATATATATATATATATATATATATATATATATATATATATATATATATATATATATATATATATATATAATATATTGCATATTATACATAATATATTTAAATATATTCCGGAATGGAATAAGAGTCATTACTAGATATACCTATATATAGGGTAATTCCTATATAATAATTCTTCCCTCTACATTTGTTTAGTCGTTGAAGCGATAATGTGAGAGCTAAAACACTCTGGTCTCGTATTTTCTCACTAATAACTTCCTAATTCATTTATCCTCAAACTTATCGAAGACAATTCGGAACTAAAGCCAGTAATCGGATGGAATTGATTGCAATGTAGAGAGATAGACTTCAAATTCGCGGAAAATTTTGTCGTTTTCTATTCTGGGCACGTATTCAGCGGAAGATTTTCGCACAAATCATTTTTGCGAAATTTCACCTTCCCGCCGGGTCCCAAACTTCATAACTATATTCTTGCGAATGTCAATCTGAATCTCCCGATCGTCGACGCACCTTTCGTAACTTGTTTCCGTTCAGAATTCTAAATGAAGTCAACTTGCGTCGCTTGCGTGAAACTTCGGAAAACGTCGAGAGAAATACGGAAAATGACATTTAATATTTCAACTTTTCCATTATTTCGAACTTGAGCGACCGCCTTGAAAAAAGTGATATCTCTTACATTCTGTAAGTTTTAAACGGAATGTGAAGAAATTTGTTAGGTAGGAAACGAAAACTCTCTCAACAGTTTCAATATAAGAGTTTTTTCCATTGTATGTGAAACTCGATTGCATGATATTTCATATTTCACAATTTTTCTTCAAGAAATGATTATCTTGTTCTTATTGCATACACATATGAGAAAAAACGATCTTTAAAAAATTGAGAATTAAAAGGGTACCTCAGAAGAAGTCAAAGTGAAGATATAATAATGAAATAATATTTAGAATTTTCTCATAATTTAATACAAATACGCATGACGACGTTTCGAAGTACTACTTCTTTATCAAATGCTGAATTAACATTCTAAATATTGTTTCATTATGGATATTAATTTTCTCCAAGTATCGGCCTGATCAATCATCAATTTGAAAATATAATAATTGATGAGGCCGATACTTGATGTAAATCGATAAACATAATAAAACAATTGTTAAACAAAGATTTACACATATATTAAAAAAATAATACTGCATGACGTACGTTTCGATGAGATTCACCTTTTTCATATGCTACGTGCAGACTAATGACATTTCTCGAATACATACAATATATAAACTTAAATTATGAATACAGAGAAAACAGGTTAGATAACAGGTAGAAGGGATCAATTCATACTGAACTACTATATAGGAAACTAAGTAATTTTGAAAAGATTGAGAAGGGGGCTTGAGGTATGATCCATTTGGCTGTTCAAAATGTTGCCAGAATATTTGTATTTATTAATTTGAAGTGATTTTAACAAATTAAGCTTCATTCCCTTGTTTGCGGTATTCAAAATTTCGAAATCAGAATTGAATACATGATTTTCAATAATGTATGTATATGTATATTGTATGTATTCGAAAAATGTCATTAGTCTGAACGTAGCATTTGAAAAAGGTGAATCTCATCGAAACGTACGTCATGCATATATATATATATATATATATATATATTATATATATATGTGAATCATGCAGTATATATATATATATATATATATATATATATATATATATATATATTAATAATTGTTTTACTATGAAAATATAAGTCTAATTTTTATTATCATGAATATCCAAAGTGCTCTAAATTCACAGAAAAAGCTTTTGTAAACCACCAGATTCAATCGTTGAATGAATTCAACGATATTTCTTTTATTGTTGATATCAACGTATTTCTTTTATGGTACTGAAATTAGAGTCGTAGATTTCTGAAAATTTCTTGAATTAGGGTGGAAGGGTTGAAAAATGAAGCACTGAGAATAATTTAGAATTTTCAGATATTGCAGAACGATTAATACATATTTGAAGACTCGTGCAACCCAACTATGATTACAGGATGAAGTTCTTACGTTAATCATCGCTGAGAATTTCAAAACAACATAGTCATAAGAGGTTTCAGATGAGGCTGGATGTTTCTTCTACCTCTTCTACCCCTGGACGTTTGAATAATAAAATTTACTTTGAACAGGTATGGAATACTTTTATATGTAAACAATTTTAATGTAAGTCCCTGTTTCACCTGGTTGAGAACTTCAATTCGGAGAACCATGTATAATTGTCAATTTGTATCATCATTCGAAATTGATTGAGGACTTCAGAAATCAACCAAAGTTTGTCATTCGTCTTCTTTTTACCTAGGGCTTCAGTAAGTTACATACTCCAATTAAAAAAAAAATTGTAAAACTCTTCCTGATTGTAATAACTGTACTTAATTTAAATGAAACTAAGTAGGTTTCTGCTTTTTACTGAATTCAGTTAAACATAACAATATTTTTTTTTATTTGCAAATTAACCGCATCAACCACTTAGGGTTATTAGCGGAAGTACGTTTGATTCAGTACATGGTTCATAGTTAAAGATAATTACAAATATAGATAATTTTATATCATAAAAATATAAAATATTAGACAAACATAACAATTTTGTTTCGCTGAAAGTGTGGCTTCATCAGATGTATGTAGATGATAAACTTCATTATCTACAGTTTATCATCTACATCTGATGAAGCCACTGTGTTGGAGAAACAATATTGTTATGTTTAACTAAATTTTAGTGAAAATCAAAAATCCTCTCAGTTTTATTTGAATTATGTATTTGTATTTTCGTCAAGTATCGGCCCAATCGATTAATAATAATAACTGAACTTCTAATTTTATTAACGAATGAAGTTTTATTTATGTAGGTATAAATATGCACAATATTGAATTATATAAAATGAAGTGAATATCTTCATAGTTGAAAAAGCAAGAAGTCTTCATTCAATTTCATGAATTATTTGAATATCACAACGAGGACGATTTTTTGAAGAAATTTTATTTCTTTTCGATTCAAGTCTGTTTTTCATGAAAATGTTGCAAATGTCTCAGGAACCTAAAAATTATTAGAGTGGTCCTGTCGTGATTTTGTGAACAAATGTTATTCGTAATGATATAATGACATTATATCATTCTTCCGTATAAATTAATATACCAAGAGTTTACCAGCGAAACAACTGTAAATTAGTTTAAAGGTACACGGAATGGCCACCAAACATTGAGCAGATTCCTTTATGGTCACAATTTATACTGGAATATATTGGCGACGAGGTTAAAGCGAGCAGCTAATTCCCTAATAAACAGCAGACCCGTTCGGGGCACAACTCGTGGGCTATCCATACATCCGGTTTGGTCCTGACATCGGATGTTATACGAATACTGCACCCTCATCCGGATATAGAATGTGGCAGGGTGTACACTATCTGTTTTACTGGTTTTGTCATCATCGGTTGCAGACGGGATACAGCGGCTTCTGATCTGGCTATTACATCTCGAATTCGTGAATTTATTAGAGCTTTCAGGTCTCCAATTCTGAAGACTAGTAAGATAATATAGTAATTCTAAATCATTTCGCAAACAAGGCTTTATCATGCTGATTTTTCATGTTGGGTCATTCGGTCTGAAGAACTGCTCGGAAAGCTTTCAATGTTTTGGGTGCATTTTCGGATGTGTCCTTTGATATATCATTACAAATTAATTTTTTCCTGAGTGCTTAGTTTTCAGTTCACGCAACAGAATAATGAAGAAATTTACTTATTTTGAGATCTGCAATTAATAAATGTGAATACTGTCTCTAATTTTTCTGGGAATACAGTTATATTCTGGCTTTACATAAGAATTTTCTATTTATATAATTCTCTTTGTATAATCTCAAATTGATGACGGACATTAGAATAGCCAACAACAACAAAAACAAAATACGTTTATTAAGTGCTTTGATTAATTACATTTAATTTTTTCCATTACTAATACAAATTGGGAAGTTATAAGGTCTTGCGACCTTCTTTAACCCTGCGCAACTTAATTATCTTGTACAAAAAAAAACATTTTAAATTTTGTTATCGGATATAGGCCTAAAAGTGCGGCTGTGACCGACTTCTTTATTACGTGCCATTCGGTCGAATGTCGGACTTTCAATTCATCTGACATTTGATGGTAAAGTAAACCACAGAAAACTTTACCCACCTAATTAACTGTCGCGCACTTTTGATGACGCACACTACGGTATTCTCACGCACTGCTACTTATCTCGCACGCTAGCGGATGCTACTTATTCCCAAACTTTTTTGATGGCGTACCACCTAATATGAAGTCCTCCTTTCATGTACCACCAGTATAAAAATGATTAATCATCATTCCATTGCCAACATAGTAAAGTTTGTAAATAACAATTAAAAAATAACATTTAGCCTTTTATCTCGCACGCTAGCGGATGCGTATATCCTCTAGGTAGTCAAGAACGTCGTCTAGGGCTCCTGAAGTGCTTGCAGTATCCGTGCTGGTGGGAAGGGAAGTTTAATTTTTGGTTTTCTGGGAAACGTCCGGGTCTGTTCCAGCGTCGCTCGGGCTTCCAGATTGGGTCCATTGAAAGTGCGTTGGGCTTAATGAGCTTGAAGCTTTTCGATGTGGGTGAAAATTGTGGGCATTTTGATTATTTCATGGACAATAAAAGACAGAAATTGTCTGTGAAGTCTGAAGATGCTGCGGCAGATTGCTCTTTCGCAGCTTTCGACAGTCTTCACTAGACGTTTCGAAATAGTGGAGTAGAGCAAGCATCTGTACGCGATAACAGGGCCAATGAATGCCTTGTATGTTTGAGGAGAGTCCGGGGAT